AAAGATCGACCGGTTCGCTCTCGCGGTCGCGGTTCACTGCAAAGCGGATGCGACGTTATACACGGGAATCTTAACGAGAAAGAAATTCTGTCTCAAGTTAATAAATATTCTCTAAATGAACATTCCATCCTTAATTAATGAACATGCGAAATAGAACTTAGTTTCCCGCATAATTCCCATAGCTCATTATTAGAGCTATAATGCCAGAAGTTTAAGTATTAGAATCATGCATACGTTTTGCAAATATATAATACAATCACTTTATCATAATAAAAATGTGCAACTTTGCTGTGTGCAACTTTGCGGTGTGCAACTTTACTGTGTGCAAATAAACGGTGTGCAACTTTAGCGGTGTGTGTAACACCGTTTAGGTGGACACGTAAAAATGGACACCGTTCATTTGGACACGTAAAATTTGCACACCGCACAGTTGCACACCGCAAAGTTGCACACAGCAAAGTCGCACACAACAAAGTTGCACACCGCTAAAGCGCTTATAAGAAATACGTGAAACGTTGCACAGATTTTAATATACAACCTACATAGCGTGACACTAATTAGTGATATTAAAGCTTACAAGACAGAAACGCTCTATCGATTCCTTTCTGGACCATAATTTGAGAGTGACTTTCTCGGTCATGTTGTATACGATGGATGACGTGTATCGTTCGCGAAGTCTGTTCAAGGTAGAAGTTTTACAATTCTACTCGCGCTGAAGACTGTATCAGCACGGCGCGATACTGTATTCTGCGAAAACAGCGTTGACACGACGTCATCCGTTCTCGTGATATCAGTAAAAGTTTCCAAGTACCGCCTTCTATCTGTCAAGTTAGGCTATTGTAACAAGTCGAAAAATTGACCAATTTTAGGATTTTTTCTCTTATTAAAAACTTATATTATTATGTTTATACATTTTATATAAAAAAATGGAATATTAAAACAGCGGTTGTAAAAAATTGTAGATTATATAGTGACTTTAATTTAGCCTTGAGTAATCTGAAATCAAGAAATTAAATATTCTTTCCTAATAAAGAAAAATGTTGAAATTTATCGAAATAACAAAGTACCATGCTTTCACAAATTCCCTGCGTGAGATTTTATGAAAAAGATTACCATTATCTTGTTGATAAAAAAAACTAGATAAAAAAGTGTTCTATATTGAAAAACTGCTATCTAATCAGATAGATAATGTTTCTAAGAATATGCAAATCTGAAACAATTGTTTAATTATCGGGGTCGATGTTGTTTCTTTAATAAATAAATAAATACATAGAAATTATGGAAGGAAAAGGATGTGGGAAGAAAAATTGTACGATCAAAAGCAAACGATATACTATAGATGTAAATTATAGTCTATCAAGTACAGATCAATAGAAGCCGTTGGTGGTCAAATTACTGGAAAAGAGGATGAGAAAATAACCGAAAATTATACTGATATTTTACTGCAAATAACTTGAATACTGTTCCTTAAGTATTACATTGCACGGAGATTTACATTTATATTATAGATTCTTAGTGATCTGTATATTTTCGCTTAAATTTTGCTTTTTTCTAAAACGTGTCGATCTTCATTTTATTTAGTTTTACGCTGCAAGTTGCTGCATGTAAAACACATACCTATTCTCGTCATTTTTCTACATTTTTCCGCAGAGACGATAGTGATGTCAAAAATAAATGTTATAAATTTATATTGTGTTTTATTGCATGACAATGACAACAATGATTATAAAAGTGTATATATATATATATATATATACGTCTACATCCAGATTTTATGTACAATTAAATATATAACGTCCGAATTATTTATACGTTAACCCCCGATCATCGGATCTCGATTATTATTTCATTGTCATCGATCTCGCTCTTGCATGCAAAGGTTCGCAAAGATCACAGCGCGCGGTGACGATGTAAAATCATCGAATAGAAAAATATATTGAATTTAACGACGACGAGTCAAGGGGTTAAGAATCACGATTGATATAAACATCTCTTAAATCACGGAGGTCGAAACCTACGATAAAATCTCAATTACACACTACGGTGTTCTTAAATTTAGCGTAAGCTGAATTCCCTATTTATTTCTATAATTAATTTTAATTAATATTTATCGAAATCACTGACAGGTAAAAGTTCTGCATGATTGATCGTGACGGTGAAAACCGCAACGAATCGATTGAAATCGCCGCTCGGTGAGATCGGCGTGGATTTCAATCTCCGTAAACGATACGCACGTCCAGCGCTCGTGAGATGCACTTGGGGAGAAAATGTACTTTGCTTCGCCCGCGAGTTTCGCGAGTACTCTCGATAGTTTGACACCGCGCGCGAAGATAAAGTTGAGCAAGTTTGCAAGTCGAGCTTTTCTCCGTATTACCTGCGGTAGCGAAGCTCGTGCCGAAACGATCGGTACGGACTGGAAAGCTTGACGCGAGTTAAAGCGCACTGCATACAAAGCCAACTGCGTATAATAACAGTTGCAAGAGTCTCGGCAGCTGGAAAATATTAATTACAAGCAGCTTGTAACAAAAGGATTAAAGCTGCGTTACGTGCGTCGCGCGATAAAAATGAATTAAAATTACCATTACCAATAACGCAAAGTAGAAAACGTAAAATCGACACCGAATTCATTCAAGCAACGCTTGAATCAGAACATTTTCGAAAGCGAAAAGTATCGAACGTATAATTTTATTTTTGCCACTAGACTGTAAAAATATAACAGAAGTTATTAAAAAAATCAATAAAAGGCTGTAAATAATAAATAACAGATAACTATGGAAAAAGATCTATTTTCTCTCAATGCAGCTTAAATTAATAATCTCATGATAATTCGATCAATTTCTCGCGACAGTTTTTCAAACTGCTCGAAAACTATTTATTAGGATTTTTTTCCAGTTACTGAAACCATATTTCTCGAGATGATCCTTGCAGATGGTATTACTGTGGTACTCAAACACATATGACACATTTAAATTGAACTCGTGCATGACCTTGACTCCTTTCGAGTTATTTTCATATTGCTCGATCGAGGCCGATGGGCCTCTGCATCGTTGGCAAATCTCTCTCTCTCTCTCTCTCTCTCTCTCTCTCTCTCTCTCTCTCTCTCTCTTCCTCTCGTTCTCTCTGTTCTGCAACCAGGCATGCACCTAGACCGATCAATAACGTATCTTTCGTGCCTACGTCTTGCGGCTGCGGTGCAGCATATATAGTCGGAGGTATTTTAACGGTAAAATTATTCCGCAGCGCTCGAGCACACGAATATTAAACAAGAAACATATCTATCTCTATCTCTCTCGCTCTCTCTCTGGTTTCCATCAGTTTAATATCAATTGTAATAGCGAACGATTAACCTGGTTGCTCCAGATTGGAACGAGCAAGATTTTGAGGTCACACAGTGAGAGATTATTGACCAGCGAACACACGAGAATCCTAAACCGTTCCGACATGTTGGTAAACCATGTCGGAAAATCAAGCTAAAATTTGACGGCCGAGTGATTTCGCCCGTTATTCCAAGATAATAGAATCGATAAATTTTTCGTATAAACGCGTGTGCGTATTCCAAGACCTTCCAAGGGTATTTTCGCCCGGTAATTGTCGTGCGTTATTCGAAACCAAAAGATTTGAGAAATTTTCACCGGGTGGTCCACCGTTCGCGCATTCGACGCAACCTGATCGATGCGCCGCCGGCGCGTTAACGGGGCCCTGCCGTTATGCAACTTACTGCACCAACGAGGTTGCACCAATGAGAGATACCAAGGTCGATGCACCAACGAACTCGACGCAGCATCGATGCAGCGCAGAGAGGAGCGGCTTATCGTCGTCAAGTTCAACGGATATCTCATATGTGCAAATACATCTTATGCGGAAATTCGCTTTTACGCAATTAATCACTGTTAAATTCGCGAATGTCAAATTATACTCAATTTGAGTTATTTTTAATCATTCCTATAGGTCGCTGCTGCTCCTATTCAATATGTCGTTAATTTAACTAAAACAATGGTAATTTAACCATAAACAAAGTATTAAAATAATAAATTTCGACACACGTGGCAGTTAAAAATAACAAAATGTTATTTAACTCAAGGTATTGGTTTAAATTTCATCCTTTCACACTTAACAGTGATGTTTCTCGATACTTATACACAAGCACAAAGAATAGCATATTTCCACGTTTAATTATCGATAAAAATATCATATTGATACAACTTGATATGCTGAACTCTATTTACATTTTCATTGTACATTTGTATTTACAGATTCAAAAACTTCTTCATTCGCGATCTTTTATTATACATAATTTGTGTAATCATTTCGCCGCGGATTCGATCACTGTAAAAGGGATCTTTTGAAATAATTCTCAATAATAATCTACGGACATAGCCTTCTTTCCTAATAAAGAATAGAAAATGTCGAAAGACCCGAGACTTAAAAATAAGATAGGCAAACGCGAGGCGACAACGCAAGTGTAGCCGCGCGGGATATGCAATAGTCCTCGATCATCGTGCGTTATCGGCTTGCACTTGCCTACTTTCGTCAGAGTCAGAGAGACGTTTCCTCGGCGCTCAAAGCACGTGCAAGACTTTCCAGTCGCCAATTATTATCGGACCCTGTCGACCTCCGCGACGCGTTTTAAACACAGAGGGAGAAGTCGCTCCCGCGGCGAGCCTTAACGATATTGCCAATGGAATGGGATACTCACCGTCGTCTCCCGCGTGCTTCGGGGCGACGCGACGGAGGGATTCCTGGAAGGATTTTCACGGCTCTCACCGTTACGTTACGGGCGTGAAATCTGTCGGTGGCGGCTTATAGCTTCCCCGCGCTGCATGAGCCGATGGGAAGGTCGGAAATGTAGATAAAGATGGCAATGACGACGATGACGATGACGACGTCGGGGAGGAACGCGAGAATCGACCGTCGTCCCACGAGTCGCGCCACGAAGAGAGGGGGGGTGGGGCCAGACAAGGGGAGGAGAAGGTGGCGTACTTCCAAGCTCCTGGCAGACCTTAGTTCGAGGCGGAGGGCGTCTTGGGCGGCTGGAAGGGGTTCCATTTCAGACACTCCGGATCGATCTCTTTGTAGACGGGGCCCCGTCTCTTCACCCTCTCCTTGTAGTCATCGATCACGTCCTGAAATTATTTCAACGGTTCCTTTCTTTTTTTATCCGCGGCTCCGTCCTGGGCGACGCGACAGCTCGTGAATCCGTTTTCATCGGATTGGAGGGGTTGAGGAAACGTATAATAGCGAAGCGTCGAGGGGTGAGTCAAATTAATCGAATGATAATAATTAGTCTCGCGGTCGTGCTGTCCGATCGTGTATCGGAAATATCGTTTCCCCGGGACCAGTGACGAACGATCGCCATGAAATCGATCACGTTAATAAGATACGTCTGATATTTCCGATATTCATGCTGTTTGCATAGCGAGAAACGCTTCGTTATATCGGCGAATCATTATTCCTCTCCCCCTCCCTCGTTATCTATACTTCTGTGGTTTGATTGAGGTCAGAAAAATACATCGAGGTGTAAGATAAAATGTTTCCGCAAAACTGATTATTTATAGACGCGTGACAATTAATACCACGTAGAATTTTCGCAACGGTCATCTCTCGGTTGAAAATCTGTAAAATATTACTCAATTTTTTATATTATTTCGTTTGATAAATGTAACGTAAATTGTATGATTATCAAAGTATCAATGAAAATTGCGACGACGTTTTGCTTGAGACGATCAACGTTAAGGAGGGTCCACATTATCGAGCAAAACCGCGAGCCGAACTTCGCCGCGAACCGATCATGCGTCCACATTATCGAGCCGAACCGCGAGCCGAACTTCGTTGCGAGCCGATCATGCGTCCACATTGTCGAGCCGACGGGCTCGCACGAGGCTCGCGAACCTCGAATCGAACATCAGTGCGAACCATCGCGTACTCAGTCCACGAATCTGCAAGGATTTTGATGATACGCGGTTTGGCTCGCAGTGTCCCACCAAAAGTCGGTATTTCGACGAAACATCAAAAGATGCTTTTTATGATCAGATTATACGCTTTGTCGGGTGGTAGACTGGTAGTTAAGCTTCGATCTAGACAAATAATGACAAAAAACAAAAAATGAACTATGAAAGAAAACGTGAGTAATTGCCCAGTCGCTGTATTTGATTCTATCCACGTATGTGCAGTCTACACGACTACTGATAGACAAAATGGAATGGTCTGATAAAAAATGTTTAAAATTAAATAGTGATTATAAGCAGAAAAGATTATTATATACGGGACGCTAAAAATCCCGAACATTATAACAATTAAAAAAATGTCATGCATATTTATATTTACAATCGTATTTTTAACGTTGCAATATAAATTATAAATTTATTGCGTATTTATCATAGATTTAGAGTATGTTTATGCAATATTAAATATAGTTGGTACCACTCTAAATATAGTTTTATGGTTTAAAAAGGAATTAAGCTTTGAATACAAGAAAATAATAAAAGCACGCATATGTATACACATATTTAGTCGTCTTTTCCTGTTCTCATACTTTTTTTATAAGAAGAAATAAGTAAAGAACTCGAATGTGATAGTGACATGTGCAAAAAAAAGATGACGACATTATTGGCATCTCTGCAAAGAGAAAAAGCAAAAATAAAAAAAGTATGGAAACAGGAAAAGGTGAGTGAATATATGTATATGTGCTTTTATTATTTTCCTGTATTCAAAACTTAATTCCTTTTCAAACCATAAAACAAAATTTAGAATTAATATTGCATAAACATACTCTAAACCTGTGATAAATACGCAATAAATTTATAATATATATATTGCAATGTTAAAAAATACGATTGTAAATATAAATATGCATTTTGCATACATGTATTAAGAATTTATATAAATTTTATTATAAATTTCAATACGAGATTTGACTTCAGAAAAATTTTAACTCATGTTCGCGGTTCGCGATGGAGTTCGATTTGAGGTTCGTCTGCAAGTTCTGCTCGAGGCTCGGTTCGGGACTCGGTTCGCGGTTTGGCTCGATAATGTGGACCCTGCTTTACGTTACGCCGTCACGGGTTCCTACCTCGATTCCTGAAATCGAGTGCGATAAATCTGACAAGCACGATGAGCGTATTCGCAGGTAAGAATGGACGATATGTTTCGCGGAGCGAAGGGGAGACATACGTATATGATATATAAATGCGCGGCAGATTACAGCACAAAGGAGCGCTTACCTGCTTCTTCAGAATGATATGCTTGCCCTTCCAGTACTTCATCATACCGAGGGCCTGTAAAGTGCTGACAATGTCGTACGAGTCGATGGCCATTTCCTTGCTGATATCTGAAAGAAGAAAAATCGAGCTCGTCTCTGTCTCGCGTTCGACAACGGTCCTCCCTGATCCCCGTTAGAAGTGAGAACTGTCGTCGATGGAAAAGTTTCGAAGGGACACATAATAATCCAATCTTATAGAAGGAACTTGTTTCTCTCGACGCCAAACAGCAGGAGTAATAAAATTGACGGGGCTGGTATAGAGAGATACACGATGAATAAAACATCGTGAATTTATTACTATTTATATTTATGTATGGAGATATTTTATGTATGAAGAATACTATCAACATATAACAAATTTGGCATTCACGTTTCGAGGAAGAAACATTTTCTTCCTTTGTTAGCCTCTCTGATTACGTAGACAAATTCGGTCGTCGAGTTTTTCAAATCTCTGGTTAGAAATATATATGCATTCTTTATATTCGTATTGCATTGATTCGAATTCAATACTGAATTCGCAGTTCGGATAAATATAATAAACTTGAAGAGCTCGACGGTAAGAGTCGAGGAGAAAAAATGCGGAAATAATGAATCATATATATAATCTGCTGCGGTTTTCAGCGGCAGGGCGGTTTATCCTGCCCCCGCTCGATACAATTATTCAACCGTTAAAACCAGTTACGTTGGGAAAACTTGACCATCGGATCAATAACAATGCGGCGTAAATCCGCTACAGACGAGTCTCTTGTCTCATGGCACAAAATCTAAAATACAGCCAATAATGACCTATACTGAATTACGTTACACGTGTCGTATAGTTGTGCCAAAATGTCGGAATAAAATAAATTCTGACTAAAGTAGTGAGAAGTAATGGGTTGGCTGGTTGGCGAAGTCTCCTCTTGCTAAATTGAAACATTTTCAAGAAATTTCCAGAGGTCCTTCGCAGATTGCGCGAAAAATGTAAATTTTCTCTCTACGGGAAAATTACACTTTCGAAATCAGGTGTTGAATCAGTGATTCAAAGTGAGATCTCCCACGAGTCGCATTAGCGCACTTTCAATCCGCGCATGAATATTTAAATGCCGCTCCGTAATACCGAAAGTCAAAACTGACGCCGCCGGTTGGCGGCTGCGGCGAAACTTCGCTGCTGACCTACCTTTTACGGAGATCTCCTTGCCGCCGAAATTGCAGAGATACTGCAGCAGGACGTCCTTCCAGTAGCTGCGGTACGAGATCAGGCCGAGGTCCGACAGCGGCTTCTCCGGCGAACCGATTTTCTTCTCGACCCTCGTCAATAAGTAACCTGCGCAGCGAATTGTCAGGTTTATTCGTTAAATATTTATGCTATTTTTTTTTAATTAAATTAAATTATTTATTAGTGCAGGCGCCAACTTCTCGTACGTGTCAGTAAAATTCATCAACTGGTAATTTCCTTTGAAGAAAATAAGAGTGACAAAATTTAAAATATTCAATAGTCCCACTTTAAGAAAATCGTAATTCGAGGTAATGCCAGTAATTTATAGTAACTGTCGGGACAAAGAAATATTGCGGCAATAGTTTTCAAGGTGCAACACCGGTCGGGACTGGCGAGCACTTGTTGAGTGAAATTTCTAAAGCATAATTGGACAACGAAATCCTATTATACACTTAAAGTTGAGCGGAACATAACAAGTGGCGGCGGGCCCGGCGGAAACGGACTCGGCCCTGGGTGCCCGTCTGCTCCCGGTTGAAAGTCCGTTCCGCCTCGTTTGTCCCAAGTATTCTGCGACGAGGCATCAAAGAAAAATATATAGACAGCCAGGGGGCCGAGGAGGAGAGAGAAGGCACCCCGAGGCGTTTCATGCCGCGCGGCCTGCCTGCTTGCGCTGGTGAATCGACGAAATCGTCCGTTGCGCGCCATTCGTCCGTCCGTCCGTCTACGTCAATGGAATTATCCGACGGACCGGTTGAAAACCCGTTTTTCAGAGGGCGACTTAAATGCCTGATCCAGATCTACCGCAACCCGAGAGTCGGAGATCGATAACGCGCGCATTTAAACGCCGACGCCGTCGATCGATGGGCGACTCTTATCAGAACTGACGCAGGTGAAATCTACGATCGCCAACTCAACGTTGATTCCTTTTCTGTGGTTCCAGATGACAATGTTGAAAATCGACTGAAAACTGACTTCGTTTTCGGTTGAACGTCGATTCGGGTTTCGTCGGGGGGGGAAAATCGGACGACAGAATTCATAACGAGACGGATACTCTGTTTGGTAATCCTCATCATTTTACGTTCGCGATGTGAATTTGAGAATTATCTTCTATGAAGATTCTTGCTGGAGTGACACGAGTCACCGAGAGCGCGCGAGAAGCTTCTAAGAGACAGGATTGAATCCGCGGGATTCAAGGTTGGGATATATGTAAAAGTCAATCTCGAGAGGGACGGGATTTAATGGACCCCGAGCTCTCGCTCGTTCGTCCGCGTTTTGCATGGATTTCGTGAACTCCGTGGCGAGTATAGGTGCGACTGCACTTTGCACGCGTACACGGTATTAGGACGTGGACGATGGATTCGCGATAGTATTTCCGGCGTACGTCGTGTCGTTCGCGTTAACGTCGCATTCCCGAAATTACCTTCCGCTCCGCCGGTAAGTTCAAAAGCTCCCTCATTAGCAAAGTGATCTCTCCCGCTGCCGCCTTCCGCCGAATAAATCTCGCCGCCCCGGAAGACGGTTTATATTTAAAGCTCCGAATGTGTCGTTTCCGCACGACTGATGGATCAAAGCGCGAGATAATTAAGTGTTAAGAGATTATCTGCGGCGCCGGGCGAGGGGCACACCTTTGATTCATTGTCCCGAGTCTCTTCATATCTGAAATCTCGGGACACTTATCCGCGGGCGTACCTCCCGTATTCGGACCTCGGTATTAAAAGTTTACTTCCGTCTTGCGGATTAAAGCAATCCGCGAGACACGACCGATGAATTAACAGTGAGAGTAAAACTTTATTGTCTTAGTTTCCTTAATTCGAAATTGTAGAAGATCTTGAAAGGGGGGGCACATCGCGATGTCTCCTCGCTCATGCAAAGTTCTCCAAGGTCCTTGATCCGACCGTAGATCCGACCCAGCTTCAAGGTCGTGTCTGATACGCATCTATCGCGCGATCTCGCAGAGATCGGCGCAGACGGCTCCACTCGACTCTTCCTCGTGCTCGTCCGGAGGAGAAGCTTCAGCCTCTTTACGGACAAAACGGGAGAGACGTATCCCCGGACCAGGACATGCCGATCCCGCGTCCACGTTTTCGTTCCCGTTTCAGGGTGTTCCCGGCCGGCGAAGGGTTCAACGACCACGCCGCGCCGCTCCATCTCCTCCACCTTCACAGGCCGCGTATCTCCGTCGGCAGAGAGGACACTTCTATCCTCCCTCTCCGCCCGCCTTCGGTACTCTGCGGGCTCACCCCGCTCCTCCTCGCCCCCCTCTCCATTTCATCGCTGATTACTTTGGGAGGGTGGAACGCATTCATTACGCGTCCGTTCAGTTTGCAGACTTTCGGGATCGGCGTAGGGAAAGGATGGAGAGCGAGCGGGAGGGAGAGGGAGAGAGAATGGAGAACTGGCAGAGGGGAGGAAATTCGAGGGTGGAAATTCGAGAAAGAGGAAAACGGTGACCGCCGGGAGGTGGGAGAAAGGAAGATGGATCGGCGTGCCGAGAGGAAGGGAGGGAACGTCCCAGTCTCGGGCAGGGTCGGCACGACGAAGCGAAGGGCGCAGGGCGAACGAGGGTGCGAATCGCGAAAAGAACGCGCGTATACGGTAAAATTGGATGTTGTTGAAAGTAGTTCGTTGCCCCGCGGTCGAAAAATCACTGACGGGGAGATTTACAACTCACTAGGAATATTTATCTTTCGTGCATTTTAGTGGAGTACCGGATGGCAGAATCGCGATATTTCGTAAAACGGTAATGGGATTTCAACTTGATTTAGAAGTAATTCACAATTACCATGCAATACATCTTTATTCGAAGGTACATAAAACAATTATATTAGAACTAAGAAAAAATATCTCGATAAATGAGCTCGAAATTTTATAGCTTAATGAAAAGGCTCCAAAATATCCGAACAGATGCTGCGATGTTAATATGTATTAAGCTTCGAAAAGATGCTTCTGGTTCAACGATCTTAAGTTACAATTGGGGAAAAAAAAATTTCGTATCTCTTTCTTAATACATATATTTATATTCAATAAATGTAGCAATTTTCCTGTTTAAATATTTCCATCTGTATTTCTCCTGCAAATCCGCTTTAATTTCAGCACAAGAAGAAAGGGTTGAGTCTACGAGATTCGATCGCTTCGTTATATAAGGTACGTTTATTTCGCTGCAGCTTTGGTTGTTAGATCGAGGCGCAACCCTTTCCCTCCCTTGTAATTGCTCTCTTTGGAATGAGGACGATCCGACTTCGGCAACCTTGAGAAAAAAAGAAAGAAATACCGCGTCAATGGGAGGACCAGTTTGTACTGGTCTGGCTGAATGATATCGCAACGAGATGCGATATCATACGTATTCGTCCTTTGCCCCTTTGACGAGAAGGCGAGAGATGCCTGCCCAGTCGCAGCATTGTTGCGGCGGTAAACCCTCACTGATTCTCACCCCCCCTTTCCCGTCCTTTTGGTGCCCTCCCCCACCGTGTAACTGGCGTGTACCCTTCGTCCCTAGGTGTAGGGAAAGGGCGTCGGTGACCCTGCCAATCCTACATAGGGATAGTGGAGCGAGGTCACGAGAGGTCATACGATTCCGAGCCCTTCGGGCGTCCTGCGTCAAGCGGGGAGAGAGAGAGAGAGAGAGAGAGAGGAGGAGAGTCGACGGCGAGAGCGGGAGGCGCGGCGACGGTGGCAGTGGCGGTATAGGGCAGGTACAGGAAGCCCGTACTGTAGGGATCAAGGTGTGCGGAGGAGCGGTCGCCCAGGAGAGGAGGACGCGCCGCGTGCGTGAGACAGGAAGCGCGGGTGTACGCGTAGCCCGCACGCGTGTCTGCACGCGTGTACGCGACGTCGACGTCGGTGGCGGCGGTTGGTCGTGGGGGGGTCGATCGATGCGGCGAGACGCCGGGCGTCGCACTTTCCACAGACCACTTCGCTCTCCAACCTAACGCTACACTGTTCACCATCACCACCACCACCATCGCCGTTATCAGGGGCGCTGACGATATCCGCGATACTGCGGAAGCGGTATCGATACGTGATCGCTCCGATACGCATCAAGTTTACGGATTTATGAAGGAAATTAGAAAATTACGACGTTTTTTGTTGAAATGTTACACATGGAATTTTTATACATTAATATTACGCGCTGAAGGTAGGATTCATTAATCGATTGATATACATGTTGAACATAATTAATACAATAGCGACAATAAAAATATAGAATGATAAGCAGTGATAAGGAACTATAGTACAAAGGGGTTAAATATAAAATAATGAATCAAAATAGTAAAAAAATATCTAAACAAACGTTAGAAACGCTCTCTCGTTCGAAATAGTTTAAATGGATTTAAATATACTTTCACTATATAGAGTAAGTTTGGACATTGTAATTTAATGCTTAGGCAACTCTCCGCCCTGTATGTTTTTCTGCAGAAAAATAAACGTTACCGAATCCATTCGAGGAGGGGTGCGATGTCTCGCGTAGGGGCGCACAGGCTCGTAGCGCCAGCCTTGTACAGTCGAAATACAGCCGGCGGCGGAGTCGATGGCACCGGCACTGGATGCAGAAGGGGTGGAGGAAAAAGAGAGAGCGAGAGAGAGAGAGAGGGAGAGGGGGTGTCGTCTCGCTCGCGGAAAAGCCGGCGGGGTTGTGAAATCACCCTTCCCTTCTCCCGCTACCCCCGTCGACCGGCCGACACACCACGGCGGCACAGTACGTCGACCCTCGACCAACCAACCAACCAACTCCCGGCGCAACCCCCTCTTTCCCCCTCATACTACTACCGGTGTAGTAGCGCCGCGATGCCCGCCACCGACGCCGCCGACGCTCGCTCGGCATCAATGAAAATGACGTCACGGCAAAAAGCCCCCGCGTTTAATTATCAAAGCTACGCGCTACGCGCCTCGTCGCACCGCGCCGCGGCCGACTCGCGCTCGCGCGCGGGCACACGCGTGTGTCCGTGCGTGCGCGTCGGTGGCGACGACGACCGTCGACGAGGAATCGCCGCGCGTATCGGGTTCGTCGTCGGCGACTGAATTGTCACGTGATGCGAGGAGAGGAAGCGATCGCGCATTCCGCGGCGCGTTTAAGCGTCAAGCGCGTTCACGCACTCTGCAATAATGTCGATCGCGGTCTCGAACATTGACGATGATATTGATCGCGATCTCGGATGAGGTTAACGAAAGTCTTAAAAAAATGAAAAATGAATAAGAGAACAATAAGTGAGAGACGCTTTAAACGTTACATAGCAAATATAGAGATATATAGTCGCGTTTACCAGCTCGCTAAATGTGTAGTGTAATCTATTAGCAACGATGGTGATTCTTTTGAAAAAATTCGTGGAAAAAAATCGGAAACGCGCTCCTTGTCGTCGTAAGAGACGTGCATATAATAAATTGGACATACTTACTGAAATCGATGAGAAGCCGGCCGTAGCCCTGTCTCTGGTAAGGCGGTAGCGTTAGGATGCAGGACACGTTGTAATTCAGGAAGGAGTTCTTCTCCTGTAACACAGGCGTTAAAGCCTCGATTAGCGAGTGCATATACGCGAGTCACGGAAGTCGGGTTAAAAGTACCGCATCGCCGCCAATTTATCGCTTCCGAGAGATTCTTGCAAATTACCGATTATTATATCACGCGGGATAATCGTAAAATCATTATCGCTGTAGATTACCTAAACTTTTATCAACATAGTATGTTCTGCCTCGCGCTACGCGGGGAAAAGGTAATTGTAAGTTACAAGTGCATTCGCTATTAAAGGCATGATCGATGATATTCTGCTCACGAGCGCAAGTACGCCAGACGCGTTCCACGAAAGTGTGATGACGTTAATGCAACGGAAATGCATCGCGTTTTCGCAACGAGGAAGATAAGGGTACGTATTTGTAACGTGTTATGTTTAGGATAGAATCCATTGCGATATTTGTGTGACATGATCTTTTCGAAAAAGTCAAACTTCTGTCCGTTTGACTTGTCCGTAGCTTAAAAAATTAATTACAGATTATCGCGAGCCCTTAGAGGGATGTTTCTCCTAAGAATATCAGTATCAATTTTTCAGCGTCATCCTATAACGGGGTCGCAGAACTCGCAAGAATCTCCTCTCCCCTGGACGAAAGATTTAGAAAGACTGCCGCAATTCCAAAAAAAGTCACCCTCAGAAATAGAGCACCCCGGCACTGAATAAGATGCGAGTCCTCGTATTTTTAAAGCGACCACGAAGTAGCTGTGTGCAATATCGGTCCCGTAGATTAGATAAAATGTTCTTTTAGAATCTCGCCCGATATATCGAGTTAAGTCGTCCATTATGAAAGTGACAGTAAGTCGAACTTCTTGAAATCTCGATAAAACAGGCGTATAGATAGTACGTCGCGCTTGAACTCGCCTCGAGACTTCACGTATCGCACTTGCAAAATGAACGTTTGACATACAGGGTGTCTCGGATGCGGTTCCTTTATTTCTCTTGGAACCTACGATCGAAATACGTTCCTTTTGCGTTTGTCATGCCTGCTCTGACATCATCGCTTCCATTTCGAGCCCTTTGTGGTGAAAAGGAATTTCTGGGCAATCTTGTCCACGACAAACGGAAATCGGTCGGACGTAGACTACGATCCAGATGCGTCATTCGAGCGTTAATTTCACATTTGGTACGTTCAGCGTCGATTAGGGAAAATACGCGAAAATATTGCGAGGAATATATTCTGTCGCAAACGTACGAAAAATTGACGTTGTAAGAGAAAAAGGACAGAGAGCGGTTCGGTCAATCCAACCGGCGCGAAATTCCATTTTTCTAAAGGCATTTCCACGCATTTAAGCGCCGCATTGAATTCTGCCGAATATAAACAATTTTTTAACAGTCAGCAGGAACTGTTATATCCGATGTATTTTCCACGGTGAACATGCCGGATGTCGCGAGATGCTATTGCAATAGAATAATAGCTAGCTAGCAGATATAAAATCTCTCTCTCTCTCTCTCTCTCTCTCTCTCTCTCTCTGTTCTCTCGTCGATTTTCGCCGAATTCTCGTGAAAGAGGAGCTTAATCTTTCAGCCAGGGGATTACAAGTTATGCCCCGGAGACGGCAACTATCATTTTCCGCGGAGTTTCACGCGGGTACATTCGAGAATATCACGTTGGTTGAACGAAAAGGCATATAATAGAATCACAGTTATTTTTCGGAAATGAATTCAGATAGGATCGACTGGTCAACGTGCAGTTTCTTCGCGCAAATATTCGTATACGAAAGTGCTCGCTTTCCTGTGCATGAGAGAAAAAATTAACGGATCGACGATTAAGTCCCCAATGCCTTGCGCGCAGTGACAGCGACGCGACATGGTTCTTTTTCCGGCACAAGGTTCATCCGCTCGTTCGTTACATCCCGCAGATCCTTAAACGCCTTTACACGCGGTGTTCAAACGGATGGTCTCGATGGTATTCGGACACCCGGTATTTCCGGCCGTGCGGCGGCCGTGCTGTTGCTAACTGCCGAGGCAGCAACGGTCCGAAGGACACGACCCACAGTCGGTGTGTGTGCGTGCACACGCCGGCCCACGTGTGCGTATCGGCGTGTTAACTCGGCGAAGTAGAAGACGAAGAAGAGAGGAGCGAAATAGAGATAGACATGACGAGAGAGAGAGAGAGGGAGATGTGCATATACGTGAAAAGAGGAAATAGTGATGGGAGGGGAACTTTGGGTCCTGAGAGAGAGCAACCGTCCCGAGGGGTCCGTCTCCGTCAGAGGGATGAGGGGAGACCAACCGCTAGGAATTAAAGACAAAATAGAGATAGATTTTCTCCAGAGAATATTTTGGAACAGGGATGTTGCTATCGGCGATACGATACCTGAACAGTATCGACGATACGATGCCTAAAAAGTATCGGCGATTATGACGATGCCTGGAAAGTATCGGGCGAGCAGTGCCGGAGTTAAGAAACGCATCGGCAGAGAAAGTATAGTGATTTAGTGTAGGAGGGTGACTACTCGTCTCGACGGCCGGTCGTCGGAGTTAAGTGAGACAAATCGACGGGAATGGAAATGAGTCAGCGAACGAGTTCCCAAAGCCCGAGTCGTCCTCGTCGATTTTATTCACCGTCCTACGAGAAACGTAAAATATACGGGACGTCTCGTCGATTTCGAACGCACTAAAGATTCCTCGTAACATCGAAGTACAACAAGAATTCTCGATTATAACCAGAAATTATCTGCGTTACACACGAATTTCTCGTTACAATCGAGTCGAAGTTTTCAATCATCAGTCGGGCCTAATATGAGGCTAAACAAGATAAGATCCTATCGGGTCCTTATACTATCGCGGATTGAAAAACGCTTTCGTCGGTCCCGCGAAAAGCGTAGGGGGATCGAGGGAGAGAAGGGAACAGAAGAACGAAGAAAGAGGAAACGAGAGAGGAGAGAGGGAGCGAGAGAATCTGAGGCCCGCGACGTCCTTGGGTCCGGTAATCTTCGCGCTGCTCAGGGCCGTCTCGGCGTCCCCACCGGCACCATGACGGAGGAGGCTATGTACTTTTCCTCCTTCTGCTCCGTCTCTTTCTTTTTCTTTCCTTCGGCCGCTCGATCTCGTTTCCTCGCGCTGTCCGGTCGCCCCACGATGTCGCGTAAAGACGACAGAGCACTTTGTCAGCTCACTCGAGATCGATCGACGGTGACAAACAGCGGGATTCGGATCAATCAACGTTGGAGATCACGGGTTCCCCGATGCGAAGAGGTGCAAATTATTCGAATAATCGCTACTATTACTTCACCGATCCGATTTTCATAGTTACTCTGCGTTTTATTTCTTTCTTTTTAATATATCACACATCGGTTTATCAATCAGTTCTCGTTGACACACAAGACACACCTGTTTATTGCGCCAGGATTAATGGTCTCAGCAGCTTATCACGCTTACGATACGTTAAAGGCTCATTTCATTTCATTTCATTCGCAATATGCACGCGTCAAGGACTTCCCTTGCGGAATCCTGACTCGTGCGTCAATAATCACGGCACGGTCCTCGTGGGTCGTCCTGGCGTAGGAGGAAAGTGCAGTCCTCTCGGCCGAGGAGGCGAGGTACAGCTTCTTTCGCGGATATATAGTTCGCCGGAATCGATACTGGCACTTCTCTCTCTTTCTCTCTCCCTCCTGCCCTCTCATCTCCCTTCATCTCTGGAACACGGCAAGGTGGCGCATAGAGTAACGATCGCGGGCTGCAGCCACGGCCCGTCGCGCTCTACGTGCGAGAGAGGAATAAAACAGATCAATGATCGTAACGATATACGTATACGTCTCTGGGCGACCGACCGCACCATCTGCGCCGTGGAAATGATACTGTATACATACGCACACATGCACACGAGTACGTCAACACATACACAAGTGCGCTTCTCTCTATGTCTCTCGATTAGCTTCGCCGACCTAACGAGAAGTCCAAATAGTTTCATCAAAGATCCACGGCGTGCCGACTCGCGCTACGTGATCGAACCGCACCAACCGTACCGCGTGACGATTCAATTTCGAGATGGGATAACAAGAATTTGAGAGAACGAGGCAAAGATCCGAAATAACGGAAGCTCGCACAGGGCCAGACGATTAAATTCATACTGAAGCGTAGCTGAAAAGTGTGATAACAATATGACGAAATAAGAGAAAAAAAACAAGTTCGAGGGAGGCATAATAAAAAATATGATATAATAGAAATGTAATTATGAATAACACAGGCGAGTACAATGCGAGTAAAATTATCACGGAATTTCAGAAGTTTAAATGATAAAAAAAAGAGGGAAATTTTTTCAATGGATCGACCATAACAGAAGGCATAAATAAAAAAGATCTATAGTTTCTCACTTATCTCGAGTTTTCTTTTGTAAATTTTCGATTATTGCGTACAATAAATGTTTATAATTTTGTTTTAAAACAAGTAATTTACAGATAAATAAAAAAAATATTATATCTTCTTTTTCAAAAAATTTCTAGGTAATTCTGGTCCCAAACTAATTGCCACATGACCAGAAGTTGGTCAGATTTGCTGTCTAGTCATCCTCGAAACAAGAATAGACACAAGTGGTTAGGATCTAGGTAGTAAAATACTTCGGTTAAAAACCGAAATTCTTGACCACAGTTACCAGCTACATTCTGATTTATTTTCTATTCGGTTTCCAGAGTTGATCTCATGCGGTTGTACTCTCGCATCGATTGGCGGTTTTTAAATCGCGAGGCAGCGCGGAGCGAGAACGATTGAGAACCGTCGCGTCGCCTCGAGAACGTGCGACGCGTGTCGATGGCATTTCAACTCACAGTTATATGCACCCGCACACAATTCACAGTCCACGGAGTGAGATAGCGAGTGGGCGTTAAATTAATGGCGAGTGTTCTTTTTCGATCAATGAAGCGCGCAGACAGGCGATTCGTTATCGTCATTAAAGATCCTCGTGCCCGATTGATCGCAATTTCTACGAACTCGTGATCTCAGAACGGATGCGAGAATTTAATTGTCGCTCGTAATACTGTTGTT